ATAATATCATATTGCAATTTATTTAATTACGTTTAATTTACAAATGCAAATTAATATTAAACATGTATTATTCAGTTGTGTGTAACATCGGAAATATAATATAATTTTTTTTATAAGGCATTTTCAACATTTTTGCTCTAATTTTATCAAACTCTCATGTCTGAAGATGAGAATATTCAGACATGATACCAATATTTAAAGTTAATGACGAAATAGGCTGTGTATATAAATCTTCCACTAACACAAGTACTTTGCCAATAGCATACATTTTATTGTCATTAGATTTAATGAAATTTAAAATTGACATTATTTGTCCATTTTCAAAAGAAATGCAATTATTTTTTGGATCATCACAGTTAATATAATATTGATTATTGCAAAAAATTTTATATTGTTGTACAGAAATGAAATCTTTCGTAATAGGACCATCACAATGAGAGCGTGTAAAACATTTTTCCATATCGTATGAATTTGAATATATTTTGAATGTTTCATTATTATGTATTGTCTCAATTTCTGCAAATCTTCTTGTTAATTGCTGTAATGGTTGGTTAGTTTTACGAATTAATTTCTTTAACGTAGACATATAATTCTCAAATTTAAATGCACTAATTTATCCAGAGCACCAAATTGTTTTACGTCTGCAGCAAGATGTAATAAATTATGAATATTATGTGAAATATATTTAGAACCGTAGATAACTTGAAATGATTTTACAAAATGTTTTAATAAATTTTCTGCATATTCTATAATAGAAGTTTGATATGTTAAAGTAGGATGTGCAAGAATTGTGATTGCTACATGTAATGTTAGAAAATTTAAATATACATTTTCTTGTAGTATTCCTTTCAATATAATAGGACCTGTATATAATAAAATTGCCGATATTCTGTGGCTTTCCAATGTTTGATATACTTTAATGATCTTGGTTTTCGAGCAAAATCAGAAGGAATATAATTGCGTAACTTTATTAGTTTCTTAGAAATTTGTTCTTTGTCTGAATTTGATAATCTTATCTTAAGTGGTCCTGAAAGCCATAACATAATAAGTTTACGCATAACACCCAAACATACCAGGTGCATATAATCTAGTGGCACATTTGTAACTAAGCCTAGATTTGGTATATTTTTTAAAATTGTGTCACCAGTTTGATAATCAAGATTATAAGATCCAGTAAAAATTCTTTATCATTACGTAACATCATATTAGATGTGTATGAAAACATATATGTCCTTCTATATTATCACCTTCAATAATGCATTTAGTGCAACTATTATATCCAGTGTGTTTTTTTACATTTAAAATAAATGATTTAGCAGGAGCGTCACAAATTATTGCTTTAATTTCGACTTTTATGATCTGTCCCTCATAATCAATCCCATTATTTATAAAAGCAATAGCATCACCTACAAACATTTTTAAAAACTCATTTGCATTTTTTGGTTTTCCTTCACCATAATATAAGGCAATGACATATACATTGTTTATAATATTATCTGCACATAATATTGGCCATAAACTCTTTGTGGAAGACTTATATATAGGTAAACCATCAATATTTATAAATAATTGAATGTTATCAAGAGCAAAATTCAATCTTTTACGTTCTTCAATAATTTTTAGAAGAGCTTTTTCGAGACCTAAGTGGCAGTAATCTCCGTTTTCAATTTGTATAATTTCAGTTGATTTAGGAGTTTGCAATAATGTACGTGGATCTTTAGGCAAAGTATAATTAGTGTGTGTTTGCAATATCTGTAAAAGGTGACGGAGTGATTTGAGTGATATCTTTTCTTCAATAGCCCATTTACTTATGTCATGTATAAAAGTTTCGTTATCATTTAAACACAGATTTTCATAATTGTTATCGACTATAGCTTGCAGCTTATTTGCATCCGTGTAATTTTGTATCATACAGGCATTATTTTCATTCAGAAAGTTAATATTATTTTCATCATAATATTGATTTAGATTTCTATCTGAGTATACTTTATCAGAATCACATAAAGACGAAGCATTCTCATCAACAACAATTAGTTGATCATTATTATTATTAATTATTGCCATAGAATCCGCAGAATCAGTCTGATGAGTTATCATATTCATATCTGTTACTGTGTTTCTTGCAACTAATCTTCGTTTATGTCTTGCACTATAAAATATTGAGTGTTTTCGTTTGCGACCCATATTTTTCACAAAATATATTTTTTTTCCTAAATATACATATACAATGAAAAAAAGATATCTTGTTACAATAAATATGAAAAAAATATAAGACAAACATAAGATAAAAAATATTGTATATACTAACCTTAATTTTTATGTTGATGTTTTTCACTTTGTTAAATCACTTCTTATTGCTAAGTGATCTTCTGAGATCACTTATTTTGAGTCAAAATGTCCTCTTATGCAAATAAAAAACACGTGCTGGTACACCAACAGACTGCGTATACGCTGCAGAGCGTTTTGGGCAACGTGTACGCGCCTACACGGTCACGCTTGCATTAGGATTAGGTAAGATTAGGTTACATTAAGTAGCGTCCATTAACGGTGACGTGTTGATTCTTTTACTTTTAGAACAAATCAACGTCAAGTCTTGACAAGATGACAACTTAGCAGTCATTCTGCTGAACGCGACTATTTTAAAGAAAAATATTTCAAATAAAAGTTGTTTGATTCAAAGGAGGTCATAAAGTAGATGATGCCCTTTATTTGATGAATATTTTAAGAGATATTTGAAGTGGTGTACGTGTTATTTTAAATTGGACACCCTAATATATATTTAGTTATAGCAGTAATAAATATAAATAAATAAATATAAATTATTTATTAAATATATCATAAATTAAACTTTATTTTTCTAATTTTAATTGTTGATCGTCACAGCACAACATCTTTATGATGTCACTGTGACATTTTCTTGCTATGACAGATTTTTTATCATTATTGTTACATTTCGTGATATACTAGTTATATCAATGTGACATTTTTGATGATATCACTGTAACATCATAAAGATGTTGTGCTGTGACGATTAAATATATATTTTATCGTCACAGCAGAACATCTTTATGATGTCACTGTGACATTTTCTTGCTATGACAGATTTTTTTATCCTTATTGTTACATTTCGTGATATACTAGTTATATCAATGTGACATTTTACAATGATATCACTTCAATTGTGATTAATGATATCACTGTTACCTTCCAATAATCTCACAATGACATCACAGTGACATTACATTTTTTTGTCACCTTGTGACTCTATTGTGAGCTTATTGTGATGTCACTGTGACATTTTTTGCTATGGGGATATAATTAACTTATAAGATACATAATAACACAAATCGCTAACACAACTAATATGGTCAGTGCTGTTAATGTGGGCAATAAGAAGTTTTAGTAATATATATAAGTTATCATCTAATTGCATTCATTTATCGCTAAATAATTTTAATACAAGCCAACATTTTAATATAAAAATATTAATTTCTCTTTGATTTTAACGTAAAAATAAAAAATTCATGAATACACTAAATACACAAGTAACTATTATTGTGATACTTAAAAAATGATAAAACTTATTGACGTTGTTGCTTTGCCTGTAAAAAATAAAAGTAATAATAAATATGTTGTTATATCGAAAACTAAAATATACAAGTAAAACGTAAAACATACTAGTTCTCTGTCGTAGCGCGTTTTTGAGTGCCTTAACCAAGCTGACACATAGTTCTGAAATTGTTTATCTGTCAAAAATGGAAAGTGTTTTCTAGTCGATCCTACAAATGTAACAAAAAAAAAGTTAATATAGTACCGGTACAATTATTATGCTATTAAAAGCATTAATTTTTTATAATTATATATTTTTACATTTCTATATACGTTTTAAAATGTCCATAATTATTAGTGTGTTCACTTCGAAGTTGCCTTTGCGACCCATCCAAGAACATTTTGTACCCAATTTATTAGTAAATATTTTTTCTAGTCCAGCTTTTATTTGATCGTGGGGAGAAGTGCCTCCTAATAAATAGACAAATGTTTCCTACGAAAAAAATGTAAATACATATATATATATATACAATTGTTCGAGCCTTTTCTGGTAAATATTGAGCATCCTTTTTGTCTATTTTAATTTCAATTAAAGTCAGTTAGTCAGAAGGAAAAAGGTTAAATATATATTTTTTAAAAATAGATATCAGTAGTTTTGGCATATTCAACAATGGTACAATGAAATTATAATGAATGTTATAAAATAATCCTAGTTTAATCAAGCTTGAACAATCAAAATTGCTTTTGAAAGCAATTTCTTTCTAACCATTTACATTATTTTACCAGAGATTTTTTATGCACGTTGCGTGGTTCTCTTGATCGAGAGTGAGCTTGCGTTCTCTTTCCGTATCGCGAACGCTTTTAATTATGGATTGTTTTTTGGGATCTTGAGATTGGCGGTTAAGGAGAGAGGCAAAGCCGATGTTCACTAAGCACCGTCACGTATTTTATTGTACAGAAGCACAGAATAATGGATACTGATTATCGGAGCGGAGCGTGATCTCTCGCTGCCGGTCGTCGTCGGACTGACTCACAAACACCGTGCCTCGGCGAGGTCTCGGCGAGAGAGCGAGAACAAAAGCCAATTTCTGACAAACAAAATTCCTGAGCTCGCACATACAATACGAAGATTCGAGAATCGTTCTCGAATATGATTTTCAATTAATGATCGCAGAAATCAATAAGAGTTTCCGCAACATACCGCCCGCTTTGCATGCATCCGCATGCGAAATGAGTACCGAAATGGCAGAGAACCTTGCTCAGAACCGTGGTCTCGTAACTTTATTATACATGGATAATCAATTGAATCAATCCAATAATAGAGCTTTAACATTAGCTTGACCCAATTGCCGCAATGCTTAAACCTAAAGAATATACAATGCGCATAGTGTTGTTTATTTTACAGAAATCGACTGAGTCGTAGAGCGCGATAAAGAATCACAGTTAGCAATTGGCAGCTTGCATAGTTGAGTAATAGGGCGCTGAAGTAAGCTGGTTGCTGTACGAACAGTTACTACGCGAACGAGACCATCCGCGCCTGGGTGCACTTGGACGATTCGACCAAGGTTCCATTTTGCAGGAGGGAGTACGTTATTTTTGATTAAAACAAAATCATTAATCGCGAGATTCTGCTTGGAGTCACGCCATTTGCTTCGCTGCTGGAGGGAATGCAAATAGTCGTGAGACCATGTATGCCAAAACTGCTCGTGCAGTCTCTGCACAAGCTGCCATCTGCTAAGTGCGTTAAGATGTATCGTTGATACAGATTGTTCGGGAACGCTGACGAGCGGTCGACCGATCAGAAAATGACCAGGCGTCAACGCGGTAAAGTCCGAAGCATCATCCGACATTGGCGTCAATGGCCTTGAATTTAGGCACGCTTCGATTCTGCATAATAAAGTTTGAAATTCGACACGAGTTAGCACATGCGTACCGATTACGCGTTTCAAGTGATACTTCACGTTTTTTACATTGGCTTCCCATACCCCGCCGAAGTGCGGTGCTGCCGGAGGGTTGAAGTGCCAGGTAATGCGGTCATTGGCAATTTGACTTTTCAGAATAGGATCCTGAATAATAACGCGGAAAGCATTTCGCAGCTCCTTGTCGGCACCTATGAAGTTCGTGCCGTTATCACTGTAAATGTGGGATGGAAGCCCACGTCGACTTGTAAAGCGAGACAGGGCAGCGAGAAAACCTTCTGTCGAGTAATCATCTACACATTCGAGATGAATTGCCTTAGTAGTGAAGCATACAAAAATTGCAATGTAGTGCTTCATGGTCTTTTGACCGCGCGCTGCCCGCAAGGTCAAGGGTATTGGTCCGGCATAATCAACGCCGGTGCAGGTGAACGATGCGGACGGCGCAACTCTGTGTTCGGGCAATTGACCCATGAGTTGGTCTGCGGTGACGGCTCGGTGCCGCTCACAAGTAATGCAGCTTCGAATGTACTTTCTAACCTGAGAACGAGCGGAAATTATCCAATAACGTTGCCGTAATATGCGAAGCGTTAACTGAGTGCCGCCATGAAGGGCGGCCGTATGTGCATTAGCAATCAGCAACTGTACGATTCGATGATCAGCCAGAATGATCGGGTGACATTCCGAATAGGGCAACAGAGCGTTCTTCAACCGCCCACCTAGATGTATTAATTGATCTTGCCCAAGAAATGGGCGTAACGAGCTTAGTCGGCTTGATTTTGAAATAGAAACTTTTCGTTTTAACGCTGACAATTCTGAAGAAAACAGTTGGCGTTGAACTTGTTCAAGCCAAAAGTGTTCGGCATGATGGAGTTCGGCCGCTTCTAAAGACGAAAGATTCAATGAAGTCCCCTGTAATCGGTTGCGTAAATTGGTTACAAATCGAAATAGATATGCTGTAACCCGTATCAATTTTGTCCATGTTGAAATGTCGTTCGGGAGATTCCATGTAGTGACATTGTCGGTAAGATGCACCGACGCCGAGGAGGATTCCTCCAGTAAAGCGTTAATCGATATGTCTTTGCTTGTCGATTGAATTGGCCACGTCGAAGAATGAGTGCGGAGCCAGGACGGTCCAGAAAACCACAAAGAGTGATTCATAAATTCGGTAGCAGACAAGCCGCGCGAGGCGCAATCTGCCGGATTCTCAGCTGATTTGACATGATGCCATTTAATTGTGGGAAGAGTGGTTTGGATTTCCGATACGCGAGTGGCGACATAAGTACGCCACCTTGAAGGGTGTTGAGTTATCCAAGCTAGGGTAACAGTGGAGTCCGTCCAACCGTACACAGGAACGTTTGACAGATTGAAAGACCGATAAATCCATTTAATCAGTCGACTGAGTAAAACTGCTGCGTTGAGTTCAAGTCTAGGGATACTGAGCGTCTTAAGAGGCGCAACCTTGGTTTTAGCGCATAGCAACGTAATCTGAACGTCGTCAAAGGATCTGAGAACGCGCAAATACACCATAGCGGCGTACGCACGCTTTGATGCGTCGGCAAAACCATGTAGTTCCATTCCTAAATTATCTCGATGCGAACCTGTCCATCGTGGAATTTTAATTGTTTCGAGCTTGGGTAAATCAGAATAGTATGAAATCCAGTGCTGGAGAAGATCAGGGGGGAGCGGATCGTCCCAGTCGATTTTTGCGAGCCAGAGCTCTTGAAGCAAAATTTTAGCCGTAATTACTACGGGCGACGCCCATCCGAGTGGGTCGTATAGCTTTGCAATCAACGACAAGACTGAGCGTTTTGTGTTCGCACCAGAGGTGCCAGAAGATACCTTAAAACAGAATGAATCAGTGTGCGGCGACCAAGACAGCCCAAGCACCTTCAGTGAGTCATCGCTTTTAATAGCGAGATCCGATTGCCGCCTATCAAGCGGAATGTCTGCCAGCAACTCCGAAGAGTTTGCAGTCCATTTGCGTAGATCAAACTGGCCACGCTTCATGAGCGCAATGAGTTGATCTCGAGTTTTGATGGCGTCGGAGATTTCATCCGCGCCGAAGAGAGTATCATCAACGTAGATTGAGTCGCGAAAAATCGTTTGTGCGAGGGGAAACTCGTGCCCGTCCTCCTCGTTTAGTTGTTGCAATACGCGCATGGCTAAATATGGAGCACAAGCGGTGCCGTATGTAACGGTATTTAATTGGTAGTGATTGATATGTGCACAACCCGGGGGTTGCCACAGTATTCGCTGATAATCTCGATCTTCATGATGGACCGAGATTTGTCTGTACATTTTCGCTATGTCAGCTGTGTACACGTATTGAAATAATCGCCAGCGAAGAACTATTGCGGCTAAATCTTGTTGGAGTTTTGGACCGATCATAAGATGGTCGTTTAATGAAGTGCCGTTTGATGTACGGCAGGAAGCATTGAACACCACGCGTAGTTTCGTGGTGGTACTGTGTTCGCGAAGGACAGCATGATGCGGTATGTAAGCCGCGTCCGAAAGATTAGAAGTGGAGGGTTTGATCTGGGTCATGTGACCCAGCTCCTCGTAATCTGCTAAAAACGCATGATAGAGCGTTCTAATTTCAGACTGTCGTGACAGCCGATTTGTTAATTTGGCGTGAAGCACTGAAGTGATTTGAAATGATTCACCTATACTCGGCGGTGAGCCATTCTTAAACGGCAATCGTACCACGTAGCGGCCATGTACGTCGCGCTTGTGAGTTGCAGCAAAATGTTGCTCACAACGTTGTTCGTCCTCCGTTAGCGGAGGCTTGGAATCAGAAATTGTCTCGTCTGTCCAGAATTGTTGGATGACGGGAGCGAGGTCGTCTTCAACGACGCAATTGTGAACGTCAGCCGGAGGATGAGTTGCATCCGTGGGGCCTGTTGGTCCGGAGAGTATCCAGCCGAACAGAGTGGACTGCGCTGTCGGGGTCCCAGGCGGGCCATGACGAATGTCACCGATTAGCAGAGCACCGTATAAATCGGCCCCGATTAGTAAATGAATTTGGTGGGCGCTCGACGGATCAGGATCTGCAAGTTGCAATCCGCGCAAATGTGGCCATGAATTTATTTCCCGGATCTGAGAGGAAGCGTATGAAGTGATTTTTTCATAGGCGTATGCCCATAACGAGACGGATTTTCGCGGATTGAAACTTGGAGAGAGAGATATGTGAACCCGCGAGCGAGCCGACCCGCTGTATTTTTCCCCGAAGCATCGAATCTGCAGATTAGCGCGTTGACGCCTGGTTCGCAACGTTTGACATAAAGATTCGCTTATGAAGCTGTATGTGGATCCCTGATCCAGAAGGGCACGCACCAGTGTAGTACGTCCTTCTTGTGTCCGCACGATTACCCACGCAGTAGCGAGGAGAATATTCGCAGGCGAGCGCGTTTTCGGCGATACGGATTGTACCGTAGCTGTGACGGGAGACGCCCTTTGTACGAGTGTCTCTGATTTCGTGTCGGGTAATTGCTGAGACGCGTCATCCTTCGATTCGGCTTTAAATAATTTATGTAATGTCGTGTGATGTCGTTTCTGACATCGTAAGCATCGACCTCGTGACATACAGACGTTCGCGGAATGACCTTTCCGGAAGCAATTTCGACACAACTGTTTCTGGTCGATAAATTAATTCGTTGATCTATCGATCGTGCGAGAAATTTATCGCATTTCGAAAGCCAATGAGTTCCGGAACATTCAACGCAGTTTAATGTAATTACATTATTGACGGTACCGCGCGGTTTTCCATTGCGAGAATTGGACGCCGAATTTTCTATTGACATGCCCTGATCGGTCAGTCCACGGATGCGTACGGTCATAAAATCATGAATTTCTTTATAAGTCGGGCATTCCGACAGGCTACCACATTTTAAATTCCATTCGGTTTTAGTTTTAGAACTAAATTTGCGTGATATCAAATAAACGAGTAGATCATCCCATGATTTGACCGGCCGATCAAGGCTGTCTAAAGCAGCGAGAGATGCTGCTACTGAGTCGCGAAGTTGGCGTAATTCCGCGGCGGTTTCCGATCGCATTATCGGGAGTTCCGCAAATGCATGGATGTGAGATTGAATGATCGCAAACTTATTGTCGTATTCGTCGGTTAGCAGTTGCCACGTAGCAGCATAGTTTTCATCCGCAATTCGAATATTCGCTATTAATCGCGCTGCGTCACCGGTGACACTTGTTTTTAAATAGTGTAATTTTTCTGTATTTGACAGACAATCGTTATTAGTCACTAATGACTCGAAAATACCTTTAAAATTTTCCCACTCCGTAAATTTGCCGGAGAATTTAGGCAATGAAATGCGCGGCAAATGTATCGGACGACGCGTGTCGGAATCAAAATAGACGATCGATCGCTCGTATTATGCGTAGGAGGGGTTGGACTTAGCTTTTTGATGGCTTCGTTGATCAGGTCCACGGTGACGTCATACGTTTCTTCCGCAGCATAGAATTCCTCCTTGACGAAGTATGGAAGTTCGCTTTTTTCCTTGGGCGTGACTGCATGCAGAATCCTCACATGAATAGCCTTGCACGATGACCATTGATCGTGAAGCTTCTTCAATCGGCTCTCCAGTTTGATTACAGTTGTCTGTGCTTTGGACAGCTTCTTGACATTCACCAAACTGCGATTGATCGCGTCGATGGTGAATGATTGTTCCGTGAGCAGAAAATTAATGGACTCTGTCATTGTAATAACGTAGATAAGAGTCAACTGATTTGATTGGAAGCGATAGTGCACCGCAGGTAGCGAGGGATGCGGCGGCCGATCAGCGGCGCTTCACTTGCTTAATATTTGTTGTTCCGGTGCAACAGCACTCACCGAATGGCGTGTAATATCGTGATACTCATTTACTGAGAGATAGCCAGCTCCGGAGCACTGTTTCATGCACGATAGGTGTTGATCGCCACTGTAGGGCACTGGTATTGTCGCCAGTGTTGTTTCACGTGGGCACTGTGTGATTGTGCGCACGGCTAGATGGGGCGCGCACGTGTTTACTGGCGTGGGTCGCACGTGATTTGCGAAGTCCGAGGAATGTTTCAGATAATGCCGACGACTATGTAATGCCGCAATTTTTTGAGAATTGCACTGTACACTGTACTATATGATAAGGTTCAGCTTGCAGTCCAATAACGCCAAGAATCCGGCTCGAAGGAAAAAAAAATGTTCGCGAGATTTTTTATGCACGTTGCGTGGTTCTCTTGATCGAGAGTGAGCTTGCGTTCTCTTTCCGTATCGCGAACGCTTTTAATTATGGATTGTTTTTTGGGATCTTGAGATTGGCGGTTAAGGAGAGAGGCAAAGCCGATGTTCACTAAGCACCGTCACGTATTTTATTGTACAGAAGCACAGAATAATGGATACTGATTATCGGAGCGGAGCGTGATCTCTCGCTGCCGGTCGTCGTCGGACTGACTCACAAACACCGTGCCTCGGCGAGGTCTCGGCGAGAGAGCGAGAACAAAAGCCAATTTCTGACAAACAAAATTCCTGAGCTCGCACATACAATACGAAGATTCGAGAATCGTTCTCGAATATGATTTTCAATTAATGATCGCAGAAATCAATAAGAGTTTCCGCAACAAGCTCGAACCTTGAATTTTGTCTCAAATATTCAAAAAACAAGAAATAAGAAATGTAGACTATTTTTACCATTTGTTTTTGTCCTTCCTCATTAGTTTTTAATGCGATGTCGAAATCAAGTAATTTTGTAAATTTCTTGAAAGGTTTGTTCGGAATAAGAGAAAAAGTACTACTACAGCTTGAACCAGATGCTGAGAGCAGTGGAAGCGAATTATTTGTACGCTCTAATTGCTTTAAAAATGCATTTTGTTGTTCCAATAATTTTTTAATCGCAATCGTGTTTTGCAGGATTGAAACAATATTCTGACTATCTGAAATATAAATTTACAAATTATATTACTATAAACAAAAGAACAATAAATATGAATGATTACCTGCTGGAAAATTTTCAAAAATGATATCGGTTGGTATCATATTATTTACTGGATTAACAGCATCTTTAGGATCTAAATAATGGAAATTTTTAGTATCATTATTGTATTTATTTAATATTAAATTAATAAATTAATAGACACTATATATATATTAAGCGGGATTACTTAAAATCGACTTGTATTGTTTAATACCTTATTGTACCAAAAATTATTTGTTTATACCTTCATCAGAAGTTACATGGTCTTCAGAGGCAATATTATTCTTTTTATTTTGACTCACGTTTATTGCTGTTTCATCCATATTTTCGATATCCTTGTCCAAGTTTTGGTTATCATCATTAATCAAATCTAAATGTATAAAAAATTACACTATTAAGCATTACTTTATTTGCAAGTTAAAAAAATAATGTTAAAGATTTATAAAAATAATATATATATTTATTTATTGTTATACCATTTGTCAACTGTTCATTTTCTAAATGCAAATCCATGACAGTCATTAACGGAGATGGTGTCATTCGCGGATTTGAATCGTCATCATTTAAGTTGTTTGCTGTAACTGGTTGGAATGTTTTCTTTTTTCTTTTCCCTCGGCCTAATTGCGAACATGATGTATCTGATGTATCGGTTCGAATTTTTTTATGTACAACATCTATAGCTTCCTTATATGAATCTGTAATTACAAATTATTTTATTAATTGTCTATATATATACATACATTTGTATTACATGATTTATATAAGTCTTTTCCATAACCGTATTCATAAATATTGGGAAGTTATGATTTGATATATTAAATACGAAAAAGTCATTTTTTTAATATAAAACATGTTTAATTAAGATATTATCTTATTATATACTATCAATATTTTTATGACAATACTTACTACTTTGAAATATTAGTTGCACTATGTATTTTTGCCAATTGTCTTTTGGGGGTTCTTTCCGTAATATATATTTCCTAACATTTTTTTCCGGCCATTTACACATTATTTGATCATTTGTAAATGTCATCCATGAGGTTGGTACAACTTCTACAGCGTTTGATTGGCCTTCTATATTGATAAATTCAATCACTGACCAAGTCTGCAAAGCATATAAACCATTTAATTTTCAATTAATAAACATTATTATAATGTTATAATATGATATACTCGTACCTACTAAAAAATACCTAAACTATTATTTGCAATTATATTATATTTTATATTATTCTTGCATATGAATCAATGGCATGATGATAAAACCATCGTCGTAAGGAAATTTCACACATTTCCCTTTAATGTCGTGAATATTGACTGTGTACAAATCATATGACAAATGTTGTGTTTGCTGAATATTAAATAATTCTGAGGAACAAGGTGAACTGAAAAATGGTTTTGATTCAATGAATTTTCTTCCCTTTAAAAAGATTTCTGAAGTCTTGATTTCTTTATAAATACTTTCGACACAAAATACACAATTGTTTTTTAACATAACGCAATTATCTTTATCACATGTGCTTAGTTCAAACTTTTCAATGATTACTGTTTTGTAGAATATAAAATCTTGTTTATGAAATTGATCAGTACATTGCTGACGTAAAATTGGATACGTTTTTTCATTATCATTGTTTTGCATATATTCTTGTTCTTTTAACCTATTACAAATTTGTTGTAAAGGATTTCTTGTAGCTTGAATTGTTTTTTTTATCTCAAATAAATAATTTTCATATTTAAAACAACTGAAAGTGTCAAGTGGACCATGTTGCAAGCAATCTATGGGCAAATGTATAAGGCCATGAACATTATGAGTAATATATTCTTTTCCGTAAAGTATTGCATATTTTTGAACAAAGTATTCGAGTAGTTTCAATGAATAATTATTATAAATTCTGTATAATGCAGGACTGCATAAAATTCGAATAGCGCAGGATAAGGCCATGAAATGTGTGTATATATTTTTGTTTGCAATCTTTTTTAAAACAATTGGTCCGGTGTATAATAAAAATTGCCTTAATTCAGTGGCTTTATAGTATTCAATGTCCTCTAAACTTCTTGGCAAGCGTGGAAAATCTTTCGGCACATAATTCTTCAAAAACAATAATTGATTATTAATATCATTTTTATCAGTCTCGGGTAAACGATGATTTTTTTTCCCTCTTATCCAAAACATAATTAATCTTTTAACTACGCCTAGAAATACAAGATGCATGCCATCGAGAGGAACTTGAGATACGAAACCAATATTTAGCTTTTCGAAAGGACTTGTATCTTTATGGAATTCCTCATCTAATTTATTTCTGATACTGAAATCAGTCCGCAATTGTGCATTTGTTTGTAAAAAAGTCATTCTTCCATTAACAAAGGTCCCTTCTTGAATGCATTTTGTGCAGGCATTATAGCCTGTATGACCTTTAATACATAAAATAAATGATTTTGCAGGAGCATCACAAAGAAGTTTACCAACCTTTACTTTTATTATTTTTTTATTTATGTTAAAACCATTTTGTTCTAAATGTTTGAACTCTGTTATAAACTCAGTTAAAAATTGGTCTACATAGGCTGGTTTCTTGTGTCCGTGATATATCCCAGCCGCAAAAGGTTTTTTAATATTTTTATCAACCAGATTTAGATCTATGGAGATAAGAATAGGCCAGAGTTGACTTTTTGAAGAATTAGATATCGGTAAACCATCAATGTTTATGTTAAGAGGTAATACTATTTCTACATTTTGCATCAAATGTTTTTGCATATTTAAACTATTATTAATTATCCTACGTAGTCCATTCTCTATGCCAATGTGACAATAGAAACCTGGAGGAACACTTTTAAGTTCATATGGACATGAACTTGGTGTTTTTAAAAGAGTTCGCGAGTCTTTTGCTAATTGTGGAAATATCACTCGTAGAATACCCAACAATTCATTCATGGCAGATTGACTAAGCAAATGTCTGTATTTTAAAAACCATTGTTTCACAGCGTTAACTATGAAATCATTTACAATAGGGAGATTATTACATAAATTTTCAAATGATAAAGAAGTATCTGAACAGTTAATTTCTTCAATCACATCAATATATTCCAATGGTTCAATCTCAATTTTTTCTGGAATCTCGGGAATCACATTATCATGGTTTTCACATTGTTCTTGTTTTTCATTATGTTTCTTTGCAGTATCTACATTTATATTTGTAGTATTTACATTTATGACAGTATCTACATTTATAATTGTTTTTATGTTATTAGGCAAATTATTCGTCTGAATTAATTGTCGATTCAACTGCAAGATGTGTATTAATTCTTTTTTTACCATCCGTCTCATATGACGTTTTGTAACAAAACATTTTTTTATTTTAGCCATTATTGTTTTAATTTTTATGTCAGTATTGCTATTATTGACTTGATAAAAAAATCACTGAAAAAATTAAAATCATTCACATGAGATGCTCATATAGTTAATACGTAGTTTTTAAGATTTTATGGTATTTAACGTTATTAAAATAATATATATATACACAATATATACTTACATGGCAGGAATCTCGAACGTCACCAACAGGCAGATCCATTGCTTCCAGTTATAAATAAAGATGAATTTAAAATTTAATTATAAAACGACTTATAAAACCTCCAATAAAGCCCAACAAACACAATTGTCTTATTATTATATTTGGGTATTCTTATTCACATACGAAAGCTCCTGAGACGAAACGCCGCGCTCCCTAGTTACGCGTATCAACTCGTTGCTAAC